CGTCAATAAATTTATACTTTTAAAGTTATCTGATAAGGTTTTTTATATATATATATTTTATTTCCAATGGCAGGGAATACAAACAAGAGGAACAATAAAAATAGAAAATAACAAAAGATCGAAGTCATCTTCCCAAAAGCTCTCTCGCACGCCAATATCTTGCGATCTCCAAGTCAAGTCCGTGGAGCCTCCTACAGCAAATGGAGGAGGGGTTTTTTTATATTTATTCTTTTAAAATGTGTTTCAAAAAAATTTATTTAAAATTAATAGTAATGGAAATGGAAAAAAAAGGCATTGAAAGGCAAAATTGATTTTAAAGTGGTATTAAGTCACTGAGAAGAAATGTAAAAAATCGTCATACTATTATTAACTCCTATTAAGCTTAGTTAATTTAGGTAATGTATGCATAACACATTCTATTTCATAAATGTCGTTAAACAGCCGATCCAAATTTTGAGTTTACGACCACTAATGCTCCACACTCTCCACTAATCTCCGCAGCCTTGTAATTTTGAACCCAATCTAGAAGACAAAGGAATTTCTGGGTCAAGTATTGAGTGAAATTTGCCGTAGTGGAGGGATTTTTGATTGAACTAATCCGCAATTTCAGCACATAGCGAGGAAAAATACGAAAACTTCCCACGGTTAGTCTACCGGTAAATGTACTAAACCATGATCCGTCTACCACTGAGGAAATTTTTACGTTAGCAATGCGGTCGGTGCGAGCCGGACGGGGAATTTGCATCATCCAGACATCACTGGGATTCGAACCTCCACCTGAATGGCCGGCGAGTACTCTATTCTCCGAGACACTACGGCTCGATCGATGCATTTTGAAATTAAAGAAATAAGCTATGAACTAAAAACTAAAGTAGTGGAGTAATTGTATTTATCCGTGTAGATGTAGAAGAACCTTTAAAACTCGTCATGCTCTTTTAATGACGACAATGATGCTTAATTAATGTTGGTAATATGCATTAGTTGAAATAAAAAAAGCTATATGCTATAATAAAAAAATAAGCTATGTATATTCGAAATTCGTACAGGGATGGCGAACCAATGGCACGCGACACAACGCGCATGTCACGCACTATGAAGCATATGTAACAATTAAATTAAAATTCACAAAAAAACAAATATTAATAAAAAAATTAACAATTAATACTAAAAAACAATTAATAACCAAAAAAACAAGCTAATAATAAATAACTAGCAAAAAAATCAACAGTCCTGCTTAAACTAACATCTTACAACCTATAAGGTATTTGTCATTTAATCTGCAATAACAGAAGTCCCACTGATGCTATTTTAGTTGAATTACGCGTATAACTAAGACATTGCAAAATGTATTTTCTTTTCAATGTAAATAAAGAGTTTTGAGTTGATAGTATTTAGTATTATTATTTTCCCAATAATAATGAAGTCAAAATTATTTGACGGCACGTTTGTGATTTCATTAAACAATTTTTTAGAAAAAATGGCACGTTGATGCATAAAGGTTCGCCACCCCCGGTATAGGAGAATCATAAAAAATCGTGCTACAAGGAATGACGCTTAATTATTATGGCACTATGTACTATTAGTGTTATGGTAAATGGTGCAGTTTTGATACGAAGTTTTCCATTGTTTTAAAAAATATTTCTTCCAGTGTTAGCAAAGATATTGCATTAATATTTTGAGAAATTAGAATTAAAAGAAATTTTTTACACCACTACTTACAAATATTTTAAACTGTAAATAAAGCTCAGATAGAGAAATGGTCATGCTTCGAAGACCTTCCAAGTTTTTACAAAAATTCTGCTTATTTTATTTTTACTTTTTTAAATTCGAATGTTTTCTGCTACAGTTTTTCGCACAAAACTCAAATGCTGAAGGATTATGTCATAAGTACCAAATATACTAATAAAGGTATAAAGTATTATATAGATAATATTGCCCCTCGAAAGGAATATGTACGGGAGTAAATTGATAGTGGTAAATCTTGACTATCGTGAGCAATAGCATCATGCCAAGTGATGGTAAATGCTGTAAATCTCTAATCTAACTGGATGAACTATGATAAACGAGTTATGCTTAGTTTTATAACGTAAAGTCATCGGAAAGGGGGACAAATAATAATACATAAAAAAATTATTTTACCTTTATTAATTGTAAAACTTTGTGAAGGAACCAGGTAAGTGACATTTTCACAAAGGACCGAAAAATATGAAAAAAGTGGTATCCGATTTATGTTATTACCAATTTATTAGAAGGCGGAATTAATAATATTTCGCCTTATTTTATTTATCACTGCCTAATTTGAAATAAAAATCATGCAAGCGTACTAAAAACTAATGCGGCTCAGTTTGTTAAGACTAAAGTAAAGGCAAAAGCTACTATGTTGCATTAAATTTACCCATAGTGATGCAACTGATTTATGTTATTTTCTCTGATTCATTAATTCCCATATATATATCACTTGCCTGGTTCTTCCACTAAGCTCTTCAATTGTGTCGGTATATGTCTCAGTTGATGTTTTGAGCATGATTTCGTAGTGTTTCTCAGTACTGAATTATTATTTCTTTCTTTCCTTTTATTCACCCAGTGTGAAGAACGGGCATTCAGCTTGTGCATATTTATATATATATATGTAACATAAAAAGCTTCAATTAATCTTTTTATGTTAGTTTCTTTGCTATAAAACTTCATCCTAAATAATTATTCTAATCGAAATACTTTCTCACACTTTTAAAAGCCACATCCTGTTCTTTAATCTATTTTTGGCTCAAGCATGCATTTAATTATAAGCAGGACATTTTTCCCTTTGCTCTCTGTGGGAAACGCTCGATCTATTTCATAAACCAATAACAACTACTAATATTTCCCTCTTTCCCTAAATTAAAACATTTTACGGATTTTTCTTTGCAAGATTTTCCAAATCATATAACCAAGGAGCGCAACTTTTCGTGTTCACTTTTACACTCTCATGACTGCTCTGTCCTAATAATTAATAAATAAATTTTGTACCCTCCTTCCCGACCTAAGACCTGTTTTAATCCTTCCACTCGGCAACGACGTTATAAGACGCCAGGATTGAACTGTCGGGAAGGGGGTACTTACGGTACATCAAAAATATGGAATATCTCTCATTTGAAATTAAATAAATCAACTTCGGAAGAGGGTACATCAAAAATATCGAATAGATATTCGCATGGATAGTTGAAAATTTATCAAGTCAAATTCTTCTGCAACTCATGGTAATTAATTATTCATCCAGTATCTTCAACAAAAAATAAACTCTTCAATCATCAAACTTTTTTTTATTATAAATGATACCTTCGCCCAGAGGAACTTAACGATCATCCATTTCCATTTGTGAATGTTGTATGTTATGTCTACATTCTGAAGATGATAAACACTACAAGAAAGCTGAGCTTCGATATTTTGGACTAAAAAGATAAACTGCATCAGATTCCTGATCGACATTAAAATGTTTTTATTGAAATCCCATCCCTTTCCTTTACAAGTGACTTACAGAAAATTTTGTTTTGCCGCGCTCCCAATGCTGCTCTGAATTTTATCGTCTACAAATTGTTCTCACCCCACCTCATTCAAGGAGAAATATGATTCCTCTTAACAAAGAAACTAGAACAACTTTCATCTGATGTTGGGATTTTCAAAATGTGTTTTGGAATCGAAGAAACACATTTTTTTTCCTATCAACTTTCATCTGATGTTGCTGTTTCCAAAATATCTTCTTGGACTAATTCGAACTTTTTCACGTATCCCTTGAGTTAATTTTTTTTTACAATTCTCTTACTACAATTTCTTGAATTTTTATTGATTGAAAAAAGAAACACTCATGTAAATGAACAAAAATTCGACGGGTCTTCGAAATTCTTCGATATTCGATGGGTAAGGAAGAGGGAATGAAATTCTCCTCGAAGGAAAAACGGATTAATACCCCAAGGAACCGTTTTTTTTTTTACTGTTTTTTCAGGTGTAAATGAAAATGACCAATGTATTGACAATAGATTAACCTCATTTATCATTTTTATTACAAAATTTATACCGACAGATTATTAAATGAAGAGATATTTTCAAAACTATTGTTTACCATGTTACCAGCTGCATAAATACTTGAAACTCTGAAAATAATCTTTTTTTAATATAACAATTAATGTCCGATGGCCCATTGACTTGAAAAAATATTCTATGCATATGAAATTGACAGTAGGCGAGGGTACCCGCTGGGCGGTGGTACCCGACACTCCCCTACTCATTATGGGTTAGTACTTTCAAATTATCCGGCGCTACCAGTTGAATGAAATTGTATTCCATCAGTACTTAAAATATTGATTCGAGCTTATTTATAATGTTTTTAAAAATAAATTGCTGACTTAATTGCTTAAAAATAATTACCCACCTTTTAATTTGACAAGACGTTCAGATTTATGAAGACACATTAAAAAAAATTATTTTAAGTAAAACTGCAAAATATTGATTTTCTGTAATATTATGCGTATAAAAACATCTAGAATTTCGGGCAAAATGTTTTAATAAAATAGTAATACAAACTATGAAATATACTTAAATTCTAAATTATTCAAATTGAAAACAGTTGATAGAAACATTTGTTTAAAAATATCAACTTTGAAATGCCAGGTTACAAACAAAATAAAATTTAAAATAAATCATAAGCTTAAAAATAAATAAAAATAAAAAAAGAAAATTTAAAAAAGCAATAAACATATGTATTAAAATTTCAACTTAAAAGTTTAAGAAATAAAAGTAAGCTAAATTAAAGTCATGTAAATTTACACTAGTACTAGGTTTCTTTTTTGTGAACTTTTATTTTGAACGCTCATGCTGATTTTGTTATAGTATCTTTATTAGCTAAAATTGTTACACAGTTTTGTAATAGACAAATGCTCAATGAAAGATTTATTTTAAATAAGAATTATCATAATAAACTATACAATTTGTTTCTAATAGATATAAGTAACTGAAATTCTACTTACATAAAACCAATAAACATTTAAAATTTGCAAAATCCACAATAAGCCATTCATAAGCAATGAACAAGGTAATACTGATTGCAATCCGTTAATATCGGATATCCCGGTATAAAGAACTCTGAGTGGATACCAATATAACCGAGAAATGTACCTGCAATATACAGATTTATATTAATTTTAAGTATTTTTAAATAAATTTAAACATTGCTTCAACGTATATAATCAAATTCTGTTTATAAATGGTGAACATTCTCTGTTTTAAACTTTTTACCTATCTTTTGTTCTTCACTAAATTTTTAATTAATAAATAGTGTAGAAAAAACACCGGTCGTCCCAAAAGCGTCCAATGATTTGATTCCCAAGTCTGGAAAAACGTAAGTGTGATAGAAATGTATGGTTTCTTGCGTTCTGCTTGGCAAACTAGAGAATGCATTCTCACCGATTTATGAAATTAATTACAAAGTTTATCAACTGGTAGTGACCCAAGCTGGAGTTTCAAAATAATTTCTGAAGCATATCATGATCTTCAGACTAAAATATTTGCACAGGCATCTATTAAAATTTTTTTAGACTATCCCACGTAGTAGCAATAAATTTTCATTTTGAAAATTGTTAATAGTTTATCTCAGTTAGCAACGTCATCTGTTGGTGAACTTTGTTTCTAACTTAAAAACCTAGTGAGAGAAAAGTCCTACTTTTCTAAAGATAATGCAGTAAGCCATACGTTTCTATCTACTTAAAAAAAATTCAATTGATTTTTACAAATCAACGATTATTTTTAGACAACCATAAAAAGAAATTGATTTTTGTTCTCCCATAAAATAAAGCAGTGATTTTTTTTTCTTTTTACTATTCTAATTCATTTCAGGAAGCAGTTTTGAGATGTTTAAAAAAATAAAATTGAAAACAGTTAATTAAAATAAAGATTTCTACAACTTTTTTCTCTTTGGCACAATAACTAAAAGATAAAAACAATGAGTAAGCAGTTATTAATTATTCGAGTTAATTCTTTCTGAACCAGAAAATGAACTAGGCTATTAAATTTGAAAAGATCAAAATTTAACATTTCTTGCATTTAACATTTAAGGTAAAGATATCATAGTGAATACATTACCATACTGCAGTGAAACTCAGAAATGCGATATTGGCGAGCCATTCATGCATCTTGACAATTTTGTCACCTTGAATTTTGAAATATATATTCAATTTGGAAAATTCAAGAAAAATATCACAAATATCATGAAGAAAAAGAACAAAGCAACCAATGTTATGACACCTGAAGAAACGAAAAAAAAATGGTAAGTAATAATATTGTTTCAAAGAAATATCCTTTAAAAATATATACTTTAAAAAAAAAAGAAAAAAAGAACTTTTCAAAACAGTTTTTACCAAAGAAATATTTTAGTTTAGTTTCTTTTAAAGTTCAAATCAATTAACAAATTTTTGACGATGTAAAAAAAAAATTTAGTTTAGCTCATGGCTTAATATTCCAAACATGATGGATTCAAAAACTATAATGGATTTCACGAAAATACGCGATAAAGTTGTACGCACTTTAAAAAGTAAGAACTAAAAATCGATTTGTAATTAACTGGGTATTAAATTATTAGAAAAAAAACTTTAATTGGCAAAAATTATAAGGTTTGCGAAATTCGAATTATTTAAATAGAACATTTAAAAAAGGTAAATTTGATTGCAAAATATATTAATTGAAAATATTATAAGACAATATAAATATATACACTACCGGTCAAAAGTTTGCGAAAATCTTGAAATCTACAAAGAAAAGGTCTAAATTTAAATGTTCATAGAACTGCGAAAAATCATTCAAATTGCATTAAAATTTGATATGTTCTAAAGTGAACCCTCTACAGTTAGTTACATATGATCAAATTATAATACTTTGTTTTTTGCGAACTGAATCCAGCTTTTCATCACGGATTGTTTATATGGTGAAAAAAAATTTTAAGTTTGAACACTTGCCAAACTTGCGAAAAAAAATTTCCGTACTTTCTGTTAATAGAAAATAGTTATTTGAACCGTTATATGTAAGCCCTCAAAATTTCAGATTGATTCGATTTTTTTTGACGAAGTTATAGAATTTTGAAAAACTTTTCTCGATTTTTGAGCATTCCACATATGCGGTCTTTTGGTCTACATCTTCTACCAAACACCTTTTTAATTTTAATGATTTCTATATTTTCAAATAATTAATATTTATTATAAAACATATAGTCTTATTCATTATGTTAATTATTAATGTTTATATTTATTGTTTATATTTATTGCTTTTACGTATTATTTTTGTTGTGATATTTTTACTTTACATTAAATTAAAATAAAAAGTTATAACAATAATTACATAAATAATTCTAAAAAAATAATAGCAAAAGTATAAAAAATTTACATTTTTACTAAACTATCTTATTTACAACAGGTCAAATATTTAACATATTCTTATTCGTATTTTGTAATTAAATAAATTAACATTTAATTCTTAGATTCCTCGAACCATACACCTTTTGCTTTTATTATAGCCTTACATATGCGTGGCTTTCGTTCTAACAAACCATCAAGTGATATAGAGTTCCAATCCTGTTGTAAAATGTTTCATAACTGATTTCAATTCGAAATATCAGAGCATCGCTTGGAAGAACAAACAAATTTTCGATGAAATGTGACATCCATGAGATATTGTTTTAATTATATTCATAATAAATTCTCTGTAATAACAATAATTACAATAAGAAATAAGAATATTTGTTTATAATCAATATTAATTATTTGAAAATATAGAAAGCATTAAAATTAAAAAGTTCTTTGGTAGAAGATGTATAGACCAAAAGACCGCGTATGTAGAATGCTCAAAAATCGAGAAAAGTACACATGTTTTTCAATATTCTATAACTTCGTCAAAAAAAATCAAATAGATCTGAAAATTTGAGGGCTTACCTAGAACGTTTCAAAAAACTTTTTTCTATTAGCAGAAAGTACAAAAAATTTTTTTTGCAAGTTTGGCAAGTGCTTGAACTTAACAACTTTTTTCACCATAAAAACAACCCATGATGAAAAGCTGGATTCAGTTCGCAAAAAACAAAGTATTGCAATTTGATCACATGTAACTAACTGTAGAGGGTTCACTTTAGAACATATCAAATTTTCATGAAATTTGAATGATTTTTCGCAGTTCTATGAACATTTGAACTTAGACCTTTTTTTTGTAGATTTAAAAATTTTCGCACACTTTTGACCGGTAGTGTAGTTGGGTTGAACGAAATTACCAAGTTGAACAGGAATATTATTTCGTGATCTTAAGAATTCTTGACTAAATAGGGATTTTTTTTAATCGATAGAAAATTTTATTAAAAACATACACTTAGCTTAAATATGATCAGCAATTCAAATAAACAAAATTAATTAAATTACGAACTTTACACAACCATACAATTTTTTTAAAGGCATGACTTATAGTAGAACTAATGGAATGATTAAATGAGAATAAATAACAAAAGTTTAAAGGCGGAACGTATTCTTAAAAATTTCGGCGGATCACTCTACTTTTTTGTTAAGTTTACACGATGTTTGAACACGCTCGATATTCTAGGAAGTTTTATTATTGAAATTGTACCTAAATTTTCTCGCAAATTTATTATACATAAGTTCTTTTTTCTTTTCTTTTTTTTTTTACATTTTATACATACATTTACATTACATTTACACACATTTACATTACATTACATTATACATTACATTTTATACATTTACATAGCCAAAACAAAGCCAACTAGCATATCAATATGGGTGTAAAAGAGTCGCCAACAAATTTATGAGAATTATTGCAACCATGCAACCGAAACATTTAGCAGTTGGAAATTTAGACTAAAAAGTTATAAATAGATTTTTTTTTTCGATTAGAGGCGACAGTGAATTAATAAGTCTGCATAATAATGAAATAAAAAGTATCCGTTACATTAATTTAGAAGAGAAGAAAAAAATATTTTATGTTCGTTTTAAAAGATTAAGTCTTTGATTTATTTTAAATATAATTCTCCTATTAATAAGCTTAAGTATTGAAAGATATTTTTAAAAGATAGGAAATAAATATGTAATGCCAATTGTGGCATCACAATCCATCTTTCTTGTTTTCTGCCCTGGGAAGGGTTTATTCGATTAACAAAACAATAATGAAGATAAACAAATTTGTGAAGGGTCCGTTTTTAAGTTACAATATTTTGTGAAGGCTCCGTTTTTATGAAGAGATATTTTGTGAAGGGTCCGCTAACGGACCCAAATTTCTTCTAAACAGACCCCTGGTTAAATTATTAAACATACAGGGTGTTCGGTGAAGACCACCCTTTATTTTTAAAATCCTTATTAAACATGAATTCGAAGCCGTTGATAGCTTCACCTATTTGGGGTCTAAGATTAACAACAAAAACGACACTACACAAGAAATACACACGAGAATCACGATGGCCAATAAGTGTTTTTATGGTCTAAGAAAGTATCTTAAGTCAAGCCTAATAAAAAGAAAAAAAACAAAAGTGTTACTCTATAAATGTCTTATAAGATCAGTGCTTACATACGCATGTGAGACCTGGACAATGACACGTGGAGATGAAAATATGGTAGCTAGATTTGAGAGAAAATTAATGCGAAGCATTTTTGGTGGAATAAGTAAAAACGGTACCTGGTTTAGAAGATCAAACACGGAACTTTACAAAGCATATAAAGAACCTTATGTCATTAAATTTATCAAAATTCAAAGGATTAAATGAGCAGGCCACATTATAAGAATGGAGGATAGAAAAGTTTTCTGTGCCAGGCCAACAGGTACAAGAAAAAGAGGACGACCAAACCTAAGATTTTTAGACTTCTTTGAAACCTACACATATAGAGACTATACCTTTGGACCTACAAATTATAGAGATATTAAACTATACTACACTATACCTTTGGACCTAAACTACACTATACCTTTGGACCTACAAATTATAGAGATATTAAACTGGAGAACCTTGGTTAAGGGAAGAATGTCTTGGCATAGGCTTGTTGAGAAGGCCAAGGCCCATCCTGGGCTGTCGTGCCAATGAGAAGAAGTATTAAACATGAAAGCGAAAGGAGCATACATATTCGGGGTCAAAAATTACTTTTTTAACCAGAAAGAACAAAAATTGTGAATCTGATAAATAACAGCAGGCACGGATAAAAAAAATTCTAGTAAAATTACTTCATGGTTTTTACATTTTTGGTAATAAAAAAAACTAATAATGGTTAATAAAACCAAAATATACGCTATCTAAAACAATCATTTGCTAATTTTTCTGCACATACGGTAACGGTTCACCGGAAAATTTGGTTTTTGAAATTATAGATCTTATTATCATACATTTAATGAAATATACACTGGTCGACAAAATTAAGAGATGGCAGACATTTTCCCAAATATCTCAAAAAATACTGAATATAAATAAATGAAATTTGGCATGGATATAACTTATTCCATGGTAATAAAGTATGCAAAACAAAAATGAAAGCGCCCTTCACTGGCAAGACCTATTGCCAATAAATCCAATGTAGTCTGAACTTAAGGANTTGAACTTAATGATCTTTCACCACTTGCCACGAAATACATGGTAGAGATAAAATCTGCTGAAGGTGCTGAATCCCAGCCGAGAAGAGACTGGACGACGAGTTTTAGAGAGCGCCACCTACAGAATTTCTAATGGGAGAGGACAGGCCTGTACTTTACGTTTGTGAGTGAAGATGGCAACGATGGTTGTAGCGTCCCGACAAGTAATTTGAGAAGCAGATGTGGGTCTGATAACGAGAGAGGTGGTGACCGGGGCTTAGGCCTCCGGTGTGTGTGTGGAAGAGTACGTTGTTCTGTTGATAGAAAAATTTGCCGGAATGGCAATCTCACTTAATCTTTTAATGTTCCCCTTTAATGAAATATCAGTTTTACAGATATTATTATAATTGTATTTTTTTATACCGTCCTTTTAAATTTTTTATTTTTGGATCACCTATTGAACCTTCATGTGTTTTCACGAAATAAAAGATTGTGTAAGTTACTTATATTTTTGTCGTTTCTCTTTTGCTGAATATATTGTTTTTTGATTTTTATTCTAGCTTCCTTATTCAAAATCTTAATTGTTCTTTTCCAGAGATAAAATGAACTAACCACTAATACGTCTTTAACACTGACCACCACGTGTGGAGGTGCATTTTATTCAGGGTTAACTTTAGTTTGATCAAGGGATCGTAAGATCTACTAATTTTATTTCAATTATTTAGTATGGTTAAATTTAATTAAATCAGTATTATTTTTTATATACTTGTTGTACCATAATTTTAATTTTAACATTAATATTTAAGCATCATTAATTGATGTACCTTAATAAATTCATTTTCCTAAATGTTATTTTTGGTACCTTAATATAATAGTTGAACCATATACCTTCAAACCCCAACATTTAATAGTAATAAAGTATGCAAAACAAAAATGAAAGCGCCCTTCACTGGCAAGACCTATTGTCAATAAATCCAATGTAATCTGAACTTAAGGATAAAAGATGACAATAAAAGTGAGGCTTGTACAGTGTGTGTTGCCTCTAGTACAGTGTATGGTCACCCCTGACAGACAAACAGCATGCACAACGAGTATGCATGCTGTTAAGAAGGGAGTTAAGGAGGCCTTGTGGAAGACCCTCCCATTCTTCCACCAGAGCAATTTTTAACTCCAGAATGGTTCTGGGGGGAGGTTGGCGCATCGCAATAGCTCTCCCAAGAGCATCCCAAGCATGTTCAATAGGATTCAGGTCAGGGGATTTGGCTGGCCAATCCATTCGTTGAATATCCTCGCTTTCCAGATACTCATCAACCATGAGAGCCCTATGTGGTCGCGCATTGTCGTCCATAAAAATGAACTCAGGGCCAACAGCGCCCCTGAAAAGACGCACATAGGGCTCTAGGACCTCCTGCCTGTACCTCTGGGCATTCACGAAACCATTGTCAAACACATGGAGCGGTGTGCGGGTATCTTGCATGTGCGAATGAATGTGCGAGAATGCTTTCCATCTCTTAATTTTGTCCACCAGTGTACAAAACTGAAAAGTAACTTTTACGGAATAAAAGCCGTTTATGTCACGCTCTAAGTTATCATGATTAAAATTATATTAAATTATTGATGTTACCATATTTACCAATGTTTAACATATTTTGTAAAATCATATTTGGTTGTTAATTTTAGCAAAAAATTGATAAAGCGCTTCGGTCAAAATTACCGAGCTCTTTCATGTTCTCGTAAATCCAGAAACATGGTAAAATTTACCATATTCTGGCACTTTTGATTATACTTTTTTTTTCAGTGTAGGAAGGCGTATATAAATAATGAGCAACAAGACAGGATTGTTTGCGGGAGGAAACAGAAAGTAGTTGAAAGAAATATCTTCAAGTTTCAGCCTCCAATTAAACCTGTTTTGATGTTAATTAAATCCTGTTCTATGATTTGTCAGAATTCGATAGCTTTTTCCTTGCTAGCAACACCCCCCCTTTCTTTTCTACTTGGATAAGCATTCTACGAATACATATTAAGTGTCTTCTTCACAACACAGAACAACTCCGAAATTTATAAAAACAAAAAAAAACAGTTCAAACTTAAAAAATAAGAATAAAATGTTTTACTCTGTTTCGTAAATTAAAAAGAGCATGTTAGTTTTTAAATTGTTTCAAAAATATTTATCTTGTCTTTGTGCAGTGCGCAAAAGGGGAAAAAAAACAACCATCCTAAATAACTTTTGATCTAATGATCGGCTCTTCACGTTCTGGGACTTAATGGCTCAAGGGGATAACCTCAAATATGCTAATTTATAAGTGCAGACGATGTTTGAAGTTACGAAATTAGACATAAATACGTACTTTCTCAGAATCAACATACCTTTTTTTCGACTGATTCGAATTTCCGACCCCTAAAATATAGAGGGTAGCCGCAATCTGGGAAATATGGTCCCAATAGTTTGGTCAGGAAAGAGCTCCAAAGTTTGGACAATTTAAGGTTAATATTATTTTTTGGGTAATTCGCTATATCTCGAGAACTTTTTAAGCGAACTAAAAAAATTTCACACTCGTTAAATAAAGTTCGTTTATCCAGAAATAATTTTTCATGCAAAAAAATAACTCTTAATAAATAAATATTATTTTTTATTATTTCATTTAATAACGGTCGAAAAAATATTGAATTGTAAGGTATGCAATTTCTTGCATCATTTTAAAGAATATAATTTTACATGGTAAAATATGAATAGTTCCTGAGAAATTTAATTTCAAAAAAAGTCAGATATTTAAAATTCGATTTCACAAGGACAGTTCGTCCGATTTCTCTCAACATTTTTGATTTACACAAAAACAAAATTAGCATTAAGGGAAACAAACTTTGGAGAACTCTCCTAACCAAAATATTGAGACGATATTTCTCAAATTGCTGCTACCTCCTATATTATGGAAGTCAGAAATCCGTATCCGCCGAAAATTTGGTATGTTTATTCAGAGAAAGTATGATTTGTGTCTGACTTTGTAACTTAAAATATCGTCTGCACTTATTAATAAGCATATTTTAGGTCACCCTTTGAGCCATTAAGATTCAGTTCTAGAATGTGAAGATCCTATCATTAGATTAAACGTTATTCAGGGTGGTCCGTTTTTTTGGCACACTGTGCATTTTGTACTTAGTTATACTAGAAATACTTGCCTCAGTGCAAATGAAAAGACTATAAGTGTTAGAGTAGATGCATGATGGATCATCATAATAATGGAGTCTTTTCTCCACGTATCCATAAATATTGTTGCATATATGGAATGCAGATAAAATCCACCCTGAGCCATATAAAACAGGTACATTTTAGTCGGTAGAGATTCAGTTAAATTCCAACCTAAAAACAAGTCAACCAACTATAAATAAATCAGAAATTGAATAAAATTGAATTAAAATATATAAATAAATATAACAAATTAATTTAGCACATAAAATGTATTCATTTCATCCATCGTATCCGTAAGGGTTATTTGAAATAGATTAGAAGTGTTAGAGAAACATTCTTTACTTACACATGTGAGTACCCGTCACCTCCTGGTGGTTGACACAGAAACTGGCTTGCAAGCTAATTTTTAAATAGTCTATCCAGGGCCGGATTAACCTATAGGCACACTAGGCACGNGTAAGCGTTACTTGAAATATTTTTGAAGTCTTAAAGAAACATCATTCTTTACTTACACATGTGAGTACCCGTCACCTCCTGGTGGTTGATACAGAAACTGGCTTGCAAGCTAATTCTTAAATAGTCTATCCAGGGCCGGATTAACCTATAGACACACTAGGCACGTGCCTAGGGCCTACGAAATTTAAGGGCCTGCGAAAAACTTGGGAGAAAAAAAATTTTTGACACAAATAATTTAACTTTAAAAACAACAAGTGTATTTTGCACAAACCAGACCAGGTGACCAGACTCATGTTTTCTTAAATAACCGTCAGCCATTTTAGATTTAATATCACCAAACAATGAATGCAAATCCAATTGTTGACTATAATTTATTATCCTGAAAAATATATATAAAAAACATTGGTCAATTGCTAAAATGACTCATTTGAAAAAACGTGACTAACATTTTATTAAAATAGTATTAAATCATTTTTTTTCTATTAGTAAACATTTAACCTACCTTGCAAATTTATTTATAAATAATTTCAAAAGATTTACTTTTGACAATGTTAATTTCCTTCACTTAGTTATCATAGTAGTATCATGAAAACTATGAAGCTATTTGTAGTATAAATATTTCTTGTAATTAATCTCACTATCAATTTCACTGTTTTCTTTGCTGGTTTGTTGTTGTATTGTTGACGTGAAGTGTTTACATAGTTATCGATCGAACTAATCATAATGGTATTATCGATATCAACTGCAATATCGGCAGTATGTCGGTATTGCAGATAAAGTTCGATAAACAAATTTGTAAATTAAAATCCATATAAATAAAAATGTTTAAAAAAATATGCAAGAAAATTTTAGCATATAATTTGAAAAGAGGGGAGGAGTGGGAGAAGAAGGGGAGGGCCCAAAAACGGCTATGCCTAGGGCCTACGAAAGGTATAATCCGGCTCTGGTTTATGCAGAAAAAATAAGTACGAAAAATGCGTGCTGCCAGAAACAGAGAGACAGACACCGACTCTTACTTGTTTGAGTCGACAAAAAGCAGGTCTTAAGTCCAAGTGTTTCTGCTGGGCACACACTGAGGAGGCAAGCGATAAGTAAGGAGACATGCGATAGGCAGATTCGGTACTTTAGAATTTGCATGCGCACATCAGCTCTGCGCATCCTAAAGCAAAAGTATAGGGATTCGCATTCTGTATGCTTCATTTTTACCACTTGCCTTCTCAGTGTGTAGCCTACTGCGCCTGCCTTAGAGTTGTGGAGGGTCTCTAATTAGGAATATGAAGTCAGTCCTCGGTCCCTACGTAGGCTGATCCAAGTGGTCACCCACCCGCTTAGTGACCGCAACCAGTGATGCTTGACTTCGGTGTTCTACTGGGAATCGTGCCTTTACGATCGAGACGTAATACATTTATAAATGCGTATATCGGTATTTTCAGGATTCATTTCGGGTTTTTATTGCCATTGAAAAACGAGTCTCTACTGAAATAAATTTGAAATTCTTAAGTTTGAACTATGAAGAGAATTGGGATTAGAAATTAAATATTAATTTCGAGAACATAGATAAAATACTGTATATATTTCAAGATAGCGTGCGTAAAAACATTTACTTATCGCGCATTATATGCCTAACAACCAAGCACTGTTACTTTTGTATATCTTTCAAAATTGATTTTCATTTTCTTTTTCTTTCCTTCCCGCATTTAAGGTTGGTTTTCGAAGGCTTCGTCGTCATATGAAATGATGCTTTTTTGCGAATAATATGCTATTTTAATAACTGCTGTAAGTTTGCGACAGTTACTCATGATTGTTAGGACAAGTTTAGCCTATCTAATACTAGCGTTGTCAATGCTTATTCTGAAAATGACGCAAAACGTTCGTATGTAGAAAAGCGTTTATTGCCTAATTTTTTATTATTTAAAAACTTACCCCAATGCTGCATTATCTGGGCTCATAAATATTTGTAAAAACTTAGAATGAGGCAGTGATTTTGTGAAGTGAAAGAATGTGAATTCTGTGAAGTGAAAATTAATATTACTAAATTTTAAAAAAAAGATGATTTAAGGGCAATTGCCGAGGAGTTAAAATTACCAATATCTGATAATGCTAAAATTTTAGAGTTAAGAAAGTTAATGCAAGAAACTGAGATTTATAAAACTGATAAAGAATCGTATCAGACTATAGTTGATTGTGCATTAGAGGAAATAAAAGAAAACGAAAATAAGCTTACGCGGGGTAGATTAGAAAACGAAAATAAACTAGAAATCGAGAAAATAAAATTGTTACAGTTAGAAAAAGAATTAGAAATAGCTAAATTACGTGAAATCGAAAGCGAATCTAGACTTTCAAGTTATGAAATTCAAACCATTTCAACCGAGTGTAATGTCGAAAGTGTATCGAAACCTCAACTATTCCAATACCTCTAAGAGCAGAGTCCTTTAATTTGTTTTCCCCGTCAATTGGAAAGGCGTTTAAAACCAAAAATGTTCCCGAAAAATTAAAACGCGAAATTTTTTTGAATATTCTTGGAGAAAAAGCGTGTAATTTAATGGTCTATCTTAGAGAAGAAGATCTGAGTGACTATCTGGTTTATCATAAACTAAAAGCTATTGTGTTGAAAAGATTTCAACCAACACCCTACGAATGTTTAAGTCACTTTAAAAGAGCACACAGATTACCTAATGAAAGTTATGTACAGTTTGCGTCTAGATTGAGTGCTAATTTCGAATATTATTGCTAATTGCGAAGTAAAATACTTTAAATCAGTTTGCGAATTAATCGTGTCAGATAAAATCATTGAGTAAATAGATATAGAATTAACTACGCATATCGGCATTAAGCAAGGAGAAACATGGTATAAAGCAAATGAAATAGGCCACGAGTGCGATATTTTCGTATCATCAAAAGGAAAAATTAAAGGGGAACAAGGTTTATTTCCTAAATATAAATCTAAATATGAACCACAACGTCATGATGGCAATAATCGAAAAAATTTTCATGTGTCAAAAAATACTTCTAATGTTTATCTGTCTTACGTCAAAAATGTTTTTGTTGTAATCCAAATGAACCCCACCCGTTGTATTTGGGCCCTGTTTTTAAATCTCTAAATGTTAACGAAAGAGTAGATACTGTAAAGGCTAATAATTTCTGTTATAAGTGTTAGCGCTCAAACTAGAACTCTTTCACCCAGGCACCAACTGTCAAAGGAACAGCTGATTCATCCTCGAATTCTCAAGAGCAGGTGTTCGTTAGGCAGGGAGGATCGGAAAATGCTGCTTTCCCCCCCAAATTGAGAATGAAAGAAATTCGTCAGCTGTGGCTACGAGCTTCTTACAAAACAAAACTAAGACAATTCTATTGTGTACCGCGCCATACATGAAATTAGATGGGGGGGGGGGAGTGAGTCGCATTTCATAACAAAAGATTATGCGGATAGATTACAGTTGAAAAATGAGGAAATAAATTTACTTGTATCTTGTTTAAATGATTCGTCAATGACGATTAATGGGTGTGTTTACAATTTCAATAAATAACAAGAATATGAGTTTTAAAAATGAGCTAAATTTGTTAGTCGTAAAGAAAATAACTGATTTAATTCCATCGAGAAAAATTAATATTTCAATTGATTTACCTAACGAAATAAAGCTAGCTGATCACACATTTAATATTCCCGATAAAATTGATATTTTATTAGGCACGGAAATATTTTATGAATTACTTAGACTAGGTCAAAATTATATTGGAAATTCTCGAATACTTTTGCAAAATACAGTGTTCGGATATGTCGCTAGCGGAAATGTAAATGAAATGAGGGATAACAGAATTCATTGTGGGTTAATACGAGGTAGTGATTTAAATACTGCATTAAAGAGTTTTCGTGAGTTAGAATTTATTGGTGTCGTGGAGGAGTGTATTAGTAGTGAGGAGGATATAAATTTGAAAATGTTTAAGGAAAGAGTATGTTTTAAAAATGGTAGGTATGAGGTATGTTGTTAAATGGTAGGTATGTTAAAAATGGTAGGAACTTCCGTAGTGAGTTGAGTGATAATCTCAATTTAGCGAAAAAATGACTCGGAAGTCCTATGAGGAAAATGCAAGAGTAATCAAGTGTTATATTCTAAGTATCGTAAGGTTTTAAAGGATAACCTAGATGAGGGAATAATTGAGAAGGCAACAAGTCCCTTTATTTCCGCAAATAACGCAGTGTTTTATCTTCCTCACCAAGTGATAATAAAAAATGAATCTCTTGCAACTAAACTACGAATAATGTTCGACGCTAGTGCACACGAAGTAGGACAGTTGTCATTGAATGACTGTTTATATCAAGGAGTCAATTTGAGTCCGAACATTTTTGACTTGCTAATATCTTTTCATCAGTACAAAATAGCTGTTTTAGCTGACATTGAAAAAACCTTTTTTTGCAACTTTCTTTGGCTCTAAAAGATAAAGACGTTGTTAGATTCCTTGTGGCTGGTGATGGAAACGATGTGCAAGTATTCCGATTCAATAGAGTTCTATTTGGAGTAAACACATCTTCGCTTCTATTAGCGGCAACTATAAAGATTCATATAGAGAAATATGCAGAACAATATTCCAAAACTGTACTGACAAACTCAATGAAATTTTCTGTTTGAACGATCTCATTTCTGGTGAAGATACCGTAGAATCATCTTTTGACCTGTCAAAGACTGCTGCAAAAATTATGAGTGATGCAGGAATGAACTTGCGAAAATGGATTACAAATGACTGGGATTTACCATAAGATTTAAAATTTTGTTTCAAGAAATTTGGCAACGAAAATTAGACTGGGGCGAAGAGTTATTGCCAGATGTTACTGAGAAATTTGAACAAGGGTGTTCAGAAGTGTATTATTGTTTGGAAATAAGCCCTGTCTGAAAGTTTTTGCCTTTAACACGGAATTTCATAACCATAAATTATTAAAATACTGCTTTTCGCTTATTTCGATCTAAAATAATGCATTTAAAAATAGGAAAATATGTTCAATAAAAATTACGCGTCAAAGTGTTTGCGTGGAAAGTAATCGAATCATTTTTTTTTCTGATTACATTATGTAATTGACATCAAAGAGCAGTTAGACTCAAGAAAAATTCTTTTTAAAATTTTTTTTGCTTTTTTTTCCATTCAGATTGCAGTGTGAAAAACAGAGAGAGAGAGAGAGAGAGAGAGAGAGAAAGAGCAATGCAGTTTAGGCAGCATTAGAGAACTGCATTTAATTTCTCTCTATAAAGGGAATTAAATATTTAAAATAAAATTAATCATATGTCCAAAACTGAAATATTTAAAAATACATTGAAGTAAGTTTAGGACTATAGTGTGGAAATTCAATAAAATGTGTAAAAAAATTCTTTATCTTACCAGTCCAGACGGAACTTGGTTTGTGAAAAAAATCATAATCACCGCTTAATATAAGAATGTAGCAGTTGACGCTCCAAGCAGTCAAGCAGTAAAAAAATTTCCAGACACTCTCTGGCATTTTTGATTGGTTGGATGGAGTGAGGACATAATGTCGTCCAAGAGGCTAAAATAAAAGATTTTGAACAAAATTTCAATAAAACATAGTTGGTTATAAATTATTCTGCAAAAATCTAAATGTAAGTACTGAATTTCAATTTTACATTGTTCGCTTTCAGCTATTTTAATAAATCTTCTTTAATTTCTATTCTTAATATCAAAAACTTTCATTTACAGAGCTGTGTAAATATTTAACAATGTAATACTTTTTTTTTCATTTAAAAAGAAAAAAATTAATAAAAAATAAATGTTTGGAATAAAAAAATAAGAGCACATGAGTTATCATTTTATTTTAAATCAAAGTAACATGAATGCAGCACACCTTTTAAAATTATATTATGAAATGTATTCATAATATCGAAAAATATCATTTTATTTTTGAGTAACATGAGTATTACACGCCTTTCGAAATAATAGTATTAAATGTATTCATAATAATTAATAAATTAATCGTATCTAAAACTATAATTTTATTTTAAATCAAAGTAACGTGTGCGTTACACCCCTTTCAAAACAATAGTATGAAATGCATTCATAATAATTAATAAAAAATAGTATCTTAAACTATCATTCTATTTTAAAGTAGCATGAGTATTACAAGCCTTTCAAAATAATAGTATGAAATGTATTCATAATACTTCATAAAAAAAACTAATAGTATCTAAACTATGATTTTCTTTTTACATTAAAAATCGTAAGGGCCACTGCCGCTGTTTTGGGTGCATAATTGAACTTTAACAAATGTGTCTGTGGGCTTCTGTGCAAAATATATTAACTTAAAAACTTGAAAATACTAAGGTGTGTAGGAAAATACAAAGGAGCTATGATTAAATAAAAAATTTAAACATTAAATCAATAGTTTGATAATTATCAACTGTTAAACTTGTTGGAAAAAAGTACAATGCGAACAGCTCTACAGAAGATACCTTATTTCAACTCTGTACTATGAAATGAAACTACAGAGTTGAAATGCGGTATGCTGAAAATGCCATCTTTGTATACGAACGTAAAACAGAGTTTTATTCCAAATTTTAATTTCTTAAAAAAAAACATTACTATTTTAATTTCTTTCTTTGCGAATTTTTTCTTACAATTTTTTATTTTGAATTACGTTAAGTTTTATTTTGCACTCAAACACAAACACTATGACATTTAAAAACTTGAATGTACCACAGTACGTAGAAAAATGGACAAAATATTTGATCGAATGAAAAATTGTTTGTTTCAATTATTAGTTCGAGAATTACTAATTATTAAACTTGTAGTAAAAAGAAAAAAAAATACAATGCTGGTCGATTGACTGCCTGCACTGAAATGCAATTGGATACCTGCAAGTGACGTAGTGTGGGACGGGAATCTCAAACCAGATTGGCTGTTGAAACGTGGCATTTGTTTATGTTTGCAATGGTTCTTTCCATTCTATTTCGAGTAAGACAAGCCTGTCAAGTAACAATCCTCTTAAGTTACACATTCTATATTCTTACACAAAGATTCTTTCACAAAAATTTCAATTCTTTCACTATATATTTCTTTCTTAACACAAAGACAGGTATGAAGCCATGTAGAGCGCAAACAAACTAATTATATTTCGAAGTTGCCACGGTACACAAAACAAAAATATATCGTGGTGTCTAACAAAATTAAAAGGCATTAACAAATAATAAATCTAGTTTAAGTAAAAGATGTAGACGAGAAATAATTATGTTTCAACGAATTCGATATGCGATACGGCACTTTATGTAATTAACTTCATGTTAATTATCATTCCAACTTATATGGGGAAACTTAGCTCAACTTCAACACGCCATTTTGCTTATAAACGATCAGTTGGAGCTATCGTCTTAGATCAAATGTGTGGGTGTTCCTGATTTTCTTTTTGAAGTACAAGTACCCAAGGCTAAAGAGAATCGAAGTATACCAGGCATAGTACCCAAGGCTAGTTCATTCCGCTCTTAGAGCTGAAGCTACGATTTCTCTCCTCGTGACGTCACTGTATACACAGATCTCTGAGATCGCTAGCAAAGATATTGTGATAACTTTGCATCTTTCTCTCTGTAAAAATAAGTTAGACTTTTTCTGGTTATTAGATTTCAAACTTTACATAATTAACATATTATTTCCGTTCATAAACATAGTTCAAAAAAACTTTCTTGGCCATTATATTAAAAAAATACCATTTTAAACTTATAAAAATATTTTACTAGTTGGCGAAAATGGCACTATAAGTACTTTATTTTGAGAAGATCAGTTTTAAGAAAAGCATATATCGACATTTTTTTATCTACATAATCTTTGATAACTATAAGTTGTGTTAAATTTAGAATCCTGATTTTAAAATATGCCGTTTATAGAAATTTGTTCATACTTAATCATTAGGAAACATCAACCTTAAACGCTAATTACTGAAACAAAATAATAATTTAGGTTCATAATGATATTTGAAATTTTACAATTGTTTATAGATATTTAATCTTATGAGAATATAATTAAAAAAAATCATAAATATTTAGAATAACTACATTAAAAAATATGTTATGAAATTAGGAGAATTTTAACAATATGCTATATATTTTATTTATACTTTTTATTTACGCTTTGATTTTCTTTGACTTTATCCATTTTTAATTTTTTCGCCTGCCTTTCTTTTTGAAGTAATGAGGCGGTTTCTGTTTAGATGGTGAATTTTTATAAAAGTTCTTAACGATAGAATAAACGTATTGCTGTTTTATATTAACTGTGTCATTTCGTTGAATCCATTATTTACATAGTTGTTCATTTAAATTTAGGGAACACGAGGAAAATTATATTTTTTCCTTTTGTGTTTCTNTTTAAAAAATAGTTGTTCATTTAAATTTAGGGAACACGAGGAAAATTATATTTTTTCCTTTTGTGTTTCTATCAGAATTTTTTGCAAGTTGCAATCGCGCAAACTGGCATTTCATTAATAGTTTTAAATTTTCGCAAATTCACTGCAATAAACGGTGGAAAATCATTTTATAAAACAACAAATGTCTTGGAATATGTCGCAAAAAGGAATGCTCCAATATTAGTTAGAGCTAGTTAGATCGAACGCTCCGTTCTTGAAGAAAAGTGCAAGCTCCGCGCCACGGTGACGTCATTGGAGAAAATCGGAGGTTTGGCGAGGCGAGAGTTTCTTCAAAGGAGTGAACCAGCCCTTTTATTCTCTTTAGCCCTGACAAGTACCCAATTAAAGAGTTGCAATTTGACTAGTTAATAGGATCATTTTGAATTACAAAATCAACGAGAAATTTTTTTTCAGAAAACCAATGAATTGCTCAGTTAAATTCAAATTAAATTAATTAGACGTTATTTAGAATCGATTAGAAGTTCAATTAAATTCAGAAGTCCTAATAAATTTCAGAAGTCAATTTTAATGCAGTTTATTTTTTTGCATTTTTTCCCTATAAATAATAATTAGTCATCCGTTGTTGTAGAAAAATTTCTCTCTTTTATGATTTTCATTTGAAGGTCAAACTCGTGCTTGACCTTCTCTCTCGCTGTTTTCATTTTATAAGCTCGTGTATGACCAGATGTCAAAAGTAACAAAAATATGAATGAAAAAAAAAGAGAAAGATGGATTAGATTTTTCCAGATATAAATCTAAATGTTTACACAGAAATTTTTAAAATACAAAAACTGAAAAGAGATAAAAGCTATTTCCAATGTGAACTGTTATATGATAAAAGGTTATCGTTTATATTGTTAACAAGCATAATAGAATAATTTCTAAGTTATTACTCTTCTTACTGTATCAAACATTCTGTATTCCTAAGTTTATTTTATTTTCAATTGCGGTTATTTATTTTTCAAATCCGGGTATCCTTTATTTCATCACGTTTTACACCTTAACGACATGCGCTTATATAAAAATAACTTTTTATAATTTTATAAGGAAAAAAAACAATGATGAATGAGTAGCAACCACCGGGATTGGTGAGCGGAGCGAACAGGAGCTGGAGTTTTCTAACATTTTAAATCAATGTAGCATGACTGTTGAAGGCTTTTCAAATTAATATGAAATATATTCATAATGGTTACACAACCTATGTATACAAAAATGAATGGGTGTGTGTCCTTTATAGATAAAATGTACTTGTTCCATGGATTCAGATTATTAGAAATCAAAACAGGACGGGGGTACCCGTAATTTCACTATTCTGAGGAACTAATGGCACGAAATAAAATATTTTTGTCTTCTATTATAAAATTGCTTAAACTACGTTTAGCACTTTTGCGTAGTTTGAATTTGGACAAACTTTTACATCATTTTAATCGACGTAGTTTTAAATCAAAATAAGAAATATGAAGAGCCGATTAGTTCTTGAGAGGTAAAAATTTAAAAATACGACCTCCTTGAGGTGGCGAAATAAGCAAAATTTGAAAATTTAATTAAGGAGGTCCAATCTTTTAATCGCTGTCATACCTGAACTACAAGCTAACCGTAGGAGGTTTTCGTGGTTTTTCACTCCATATAAGGCAAATGTGGGTTAGTTACATCAAAACAGTCCTCCACGAAGGCAAATGTCTCCCAATACTTAATCCAGGAGTTTCCAGGTAGAACATTAGTAATCATTAATCCGAAAATTTGATCGGCTGTTCAACAGCGGTTATAAAATAAAATTGCAGCTACCTGAGCAGTGGTGGCGCAGAGAATAGAGCGTTCGCCTTCAAATAAAGTGAACCGGGTTGGAATTCCAGCGATATTTTCGTTGATGCGAATTCCGCACCCGGCTCGCACCTATTACAATGGTAGACGAATCATGGGTTAGAGTCCCCCTGCCTTCAGGCTAATCGTGGGAGGTGTTTCGTGATATTCCTCTCCATGTAACGGAAATGCGGGTTAGTTCCATCCAAAAAGTCATCCACGAAGGCAAATTTCTACAATTACATGATCCATGAGTTCTTTTGTCTTCTGGAATGGGCTCAAAATTACAAAGCTGTGGAGTTGAACAGTAGTAGTCATAAAAATGTTCCCGGATGCCCCCTTGCTGGGGCGGGGCGTGGTTAGTTATCAGTAGTCGTAAGCTCAAAATTGGGTCGGCTGCTTAGTGACTGTTATAAAATAAAATAAAATTGCCGCTATTCCAATATTGTGTGCGCCAATAATCCAAATCTGTAGATCAAAGGTATGTTAAGAGAAAGTACGATTTTGTGTCTGTTTTGTAACTGAAATTATAATTTGCTTTAATTGCTCAGCATAAAGTTATGACCTCGAGCCAATAAGATTGTGTACAAGTACGTGAGAATCCGATCATTGCATGGAAAGGTATTCAGAGCACGACCCCCTCTCTTTTTTAAATTATACTTTTGTGTTGTATTAGATTATAAAAAATTTTAAATTTTTTAGGGTATTTTTACAGTTGACAGATTTAAAATAATTGTATCAAAATATTCTATGAATCAAAGGAATAGAACATCATTCATAGACTTTATAAAACAAAGTGATATAAATACAATGCCCTTATTTTTAATTCTTGTGTGCTTTAATTATTTTTTAAATGTGTATTAACGGAAAAATAATCTTTACAAAAATATATTTTCTTAGAAGAGCTGTTTTGTATCTTGTTAAAATAATGAGACATATATAAGATGAACAAATTTAAACATTTTTATTCTTTTCATAACGAATAAATTGATATTATAAAAATATTTTTCTAACTAACGAATCGAAACAAATACAGGTGTTAGAAATTCAAATACATCTCCTATTATTATATTCATTGTGTAGATAGATTTAATATTTCCAGTTGTAACGAAACGACGATTAGAAATCCAAAAGCGACTAATTTCCAATAAATTGGTGGGTAATCTTTTCGAAGAAAACCTGTATCATTATCCTTAGTGAAAATGCTTCATAAAAACACACAACTGTATTCTTTAATTTTTTAAATATTTGTTTTATTTTTTTATCCAGAGTTTGGAAATGGAATAACATGTATATAAGGCATGGAATTTTTCCGCTCGAATAGATTCATAAAACTCAGAACTCTAATTTTAATTCACCATTTAAAAGCGTCAATTTGAAAGTAAAGTGCGTTTTTCATTAGAAAATTTAAAACGGTGATTGAAAAAGTTTATTAATTGATTCAAATTTGCTTAACCATGAGTCAAAGTCAATTATTTATTCACCCACACAAAATATATTAGGATCATCGAAAATAAAAGCAATAAATTGTTATCCTAACTAAACAAAAACATAGAAACATTCTTCTGAAACAAGTTTCCTCCCGCGATAAAAATATTTTTTTGTTTATTACATTTGTCTTCCTGTTCTATCAGATTTAAAAAGCGTTTTAGTTTTTTCCTCGATTAAATATAATTTTACCACCATCAATATGCATAATTCTTTCTTTTTTTTTTATTGATTCAAGAAAATACACATTAAGAACTGTCTTTACGAACACCCTGTATATTATGCTAAATAATTTGAAATGTAACCGAAGTATAAATATTTTGTCAATGATTAAAATCAATTTTTTATTTATTCTCTCAGATATTTAATTTGGTTTAATAAAATAAAAATATAGTGTATAAAAATTGTTTTAATTTAAAAAAAAAAGAATATTTTACAATAGGATATTTTTGAGGTAAGAACATTTTCCGTTCACTCAGAATTATAAAACTTGCAGCCCAATACAAATTCAATTCATGATTAAAAAATACGATATAAAATATTTAATCACTCATTATGGAAAATAATTTTTTAAATGTCCATAGGCCTAATATTTAAAAAAATTGAATCATTGGTTCAGAGCTTATTCATTCAATTAGAAAATTTAATTCTTTAATCCAAAATAATAGTATTTTCTAGTTATTGTCTTGTCTGAATAAAAAAGAAAATTAACGCAGGAAGGACACAAAGCTTGTGTTGATTTATGAAATTGAATTTAATCTAAGCTCAATACATAATGTAAAATAAAATTATGTTTTAAGTCATTGTGATGTCAGAGTGGAGTTTTGAATAACAATTTTCAATAATTTGAATTAATTTTCAATGGAAGAACAGTAAAAGATTCAATGGACAAAGTCAATATTATGCCTAAGTAGAAAATGTGCTAAGCACATCAAAGACAGCAGTAACTTATAGTTATCTTGATTAAAATTGACAATGCTGACAAAAATTGACAATGGAAATGACATTTTGGGAAACAGATTTTTACCTCACTTGCAAGGCTAAGAAACTCTGCTCAATCTAAAATAAATGTATAAGTTAACAATTAACGTAACTTAAAAATCATGGTTTTAAAAAATTAACACTTATTGTAATATATTCTTAATATCTTGACTGAACAAAAACAAATTTAACTGTGTAAAGGACCTTTAAGGCGTAAAATTTTTCCACTCGTCAGATTAAAAAATCTATCAGAACTACTCATCAATGATTTTTTTGCAAAACATGATTTCATAATGCTTTAAAAAATTCATAACAATCAAATAAGAATAAATGAATAACAAATATTTAATAACTTAAATTGCTATTAATAATTGATATAATTAAATGCTTTGATGTGTTAAGTACATCAATGTCACTAATTACGTATAGTTGTCTTAATTAAATAAAAAAAATTAACAATGGAAATAAAATTTTTGAAACATAGATTTTTCTTTCATTTTCAGGTTTTAAAAACTGTTTAATCCGAAATGAATACGTAAGTTAAAAATTTATTTAATTTGTGAGATATTGTTTTATAAAATTAGTATTTATTGTGATATATTTTTAATATCTTGACTAAGAAAAAAGAAAATTAACTCAGGAAAGAACCTTTATTATCAGGCGTAAAATTTTTCCGCTCGTGCAGACTTAACCTATCAGCTTTATGCGAAAACAATAATTAATTTGCAAAACATAAATTTGTAATGCTTTAAAAAATTCATAATAATCAAATAAGAATAACTGAATACGTAGTTCTTAACAAATAATATTTAATAACATAAACTAACTGAAAGAAAAGGACAATACTAATTTCCATGGTCAAAGGCAATCATAAATGTACACTAGAATTAGTGAGTCCGCCAACAATAAATAATCGCGTCGACTACTTTTTTTTCTGTTATTCATTTGAAGTGATCAATTCATTCCATTGAAATAAATATTGCAATAATCACATGACTCATATTTTCTTTTTAAAAAAAACTAGCCTTTAATTATTGTAGAAACAAAAAAATTTATATAAAGTTATTACATACCTTCAAAATCCTTTCTGTAATTACCTTCCTCGAAAAAGTCCATCCTATAGCAGAAACAATAACAAAAAGTATATCCGCTCGACCGAAATTGTAAACAGGTTGCGCAACAGGTGTGGAAATAAAATCTGCATTTTCCTGGAAGCGTTTCTTCAAATATTCTCGCACAGCTCTGAATAGTTCCAAATACGTTGGAAATTCTTCCCACTCCCCTGTACTCATGATTCGCAAGAAATTATTCAAAATTTAACGATGTGTAACAGGAGAATGAAAACAAGTGTCGCCACATCACAAAGAACTCATCTTTTCTTCTTGTGATTCAACGGCTTATCTTTACCTTAATAAAAAAAGAAGAAAAAACACGAGAGAGACATAAAATTACTTTTCCTGTCTATTTTTGGAATAATTTATAGAGACCACGCTTTCAAATATTAATGGGTTTACATATTTAGACGTGTCTTCTGGCAATTTTGTGTTTGTACGGCTTGCTTGTAAATACTGAGGTTTTTCAGGAACATCGTGGTATAAATCTGATATCCTCTCCATAGTTCTTTATCTTATTCCTTCGGCTACTCTAGTTATTAGTTGGATTACTAGGTTAGTTACTAGGATTACAAATACTAGGATTACATTATACAGCAATACACATTATATTATATAGTATACAGTGGCGTACGCAGAATTGTTTCAAGGGGGGTGTTCATAATTTTCTGAAGCTACTAAAAGAAATTCGAGTATGTAATAAAGCACTATTATTTCCCTAATTTAGACAGCTAGACAGTTTTGACTTTTTATTTAGACAACATTGTTTAGTTAAATTTTGATTTGATTTTTTAAGTTTAAGAACATGGTGTAATATCTTCTCGCATGTAGTATCTTCTGAAAAAAGTCCAATGTCATATGGGTGGGAAGTAACACTTTGAGGGCCACTTTCACATTCATCAGATTCATCAGATTTGTTATGCTAGAAACGTTTTCTTCAACGGAAGTATCACATTTCTGTACAACAGAAAAACTTACATTGTACTCCGTTCCCCCTTTTATATAATTTTTCACCGCATCTCCAAAATTCTCGAACTGTCTCAAAGACGACAGAACGTCTAACATTCCAGAATCATCGCGTTAAGACCTCGCGAATGACAGTCTCGAAAACTATCGCGACTGGCAGAACAGAAAGGAACCAGTCCATAACAGTATCACGTGAATTTAGTTTCAAAAGTACAACCCTATTGAGAAATACCGTGAGAAAAAGAGGTAGGCATAAGGCAAATAAAAATATATAGTCTTAAAAAATAATACCCGCATAACTTCTACTAAAATTTTTATTTTTGCCACTTTGTCTGAGCTCAAGGGGGGTGTTCAAACCCCTAAACCCCTCCCTTGCGTACGCCACTGATAGTATATACTAGGTTACTAATAGTAACCTAGTATTTCCTTTATGAAATAATTTACATGACAAAGTTCAAGTTATCTGGAATGTCAATTTATCCGAGGGTACTGCGTTTTTTAAATGAATCAAATATGATGTTTGGCAGTTCCACAATCAAGCCAATGATTTGCAGAGGTTTCTGCATAGAAATCTGAAAGGGGTTTTCCATTTAGGTAGATGTTCATAATTGCGTTAAACGCTTCTTGTTTAAGACCAGTACGTAATGTGTTTTTTTTGTAAGTTCATTGCTAAAAAGCCTCTTTCAACGGCTGCAGTACTCCCAGAACGAGAAAACATCAATTCCACCATGAACAGTGTGTTGTTGTATTTCTAGATCAGAGGGTCATTTTAGAAGTGAGGCGCTAGACTCTTGTAAGATAACAAAAATTGAAAATGTATCACGAACATTAACAGGAAAATGGCCGTCCGCGCGGACGTCGGATTCTAGAAATTTGTTGTTCGCGGGATATTTTTGACCGCCGAGGACGGGCGGACGGGCTGTTTTTCGAGCCCTGGTTCGATCCTCGATTCCGCTAAAACTGACCGAGTACATGCGATATACGTACGTGCTCGTAAAATCTATGGAATCGAAATTCATGTGGTAGTACACTTAGCAGTACCTTGGGTACAGTGATCTGGAGAAAATTTCTTTCCCTTTCAGATGTATGTCTAAATTAAGGAAATGGCTTCACAAATGAGATCCCCTCTGCAGAGAATCAAAATTGTGATGGCATGTCTTTGGATCATCCTCAGGGATGTTTCCCAGACAGTCTCCAGTATCTCGTTGTGCAGCTCTAGTGAGACATAAATACTCGCCAGTTAATAATTAAATAAAGTTTTCAATTAATAAATTTTTAAGTATGCACCAGTAGGTGAGATTGGGAAATAATGGATTCAAACTTTTGTTTGATCAAAGATCTGATTTGTAAATGCGAAAAATGGATCCTTCTGGCCGAGCGATCTTGCTGTTCCAACTAGGGTATTATGACGAGTAGGTAGCGGGTTCGAATCTTGCCGTACTTTGTCATGCCCTTCTCTTGCCTGAGCCATCTACTCTTCAACTTGACACAGGTTTTTACAAGCCGAGCTTTGCAATGAGTACACAAACCTGTATATGTGTAAGTGACAATTATGTTGTCGTCGTTGTAGTTCATTTACGTCGCACTGGGGATGTATTCTTTGTGATATCTTTCTCTGTATTGTGCTATCTGTCCTTCTACTTGACAAAGGTTTATAAGCCTGAATTGAGCACACAAGCCTGCAAATGTATGTTCTGTCAACGAATAAAACGTCGCACTAGAGCTGCACAATGGGCTATTGGCAACGGTCTGAGAAACATCCCTGAGGATGATCCGAAGACATGCCATCACAATTTTGAGGTCCCGCAGTGGACTGATAGTTAAGACACGGTTCCCAGCAGATCACCAAAGTCAAGCATCACTGGCTACGGTCAGTGTGCGGGTGGGTGACCACTTGGATCAGTCTGCGTAGGGACCGAGGTTGTGCGGTATTGGTCCTCGTTAAACTGTGCTACCGTAAAGTGCTCGACTTCGCTCGCACGTCGTCGGGCTACCGAAGCGGGGTTGCCATCCCCTTCGCAGAGGATCAAAATTGTGATGGCATGTCGTCGGATCATCCTCCGGGATGTTTCCCAATAGCCCATTGTGCAGCTCTAGTGCGACGTAAATTAACAACAACACAATTTTGAGCCTCTGTAGAGGGGATGGCACCCCCGCTGTGGTATCCCGACGACCTGCACGCGAAGTCGAGCACTTTACGGTAGAACAGTTTAACGAGGACCAATACCGCACACCCTCGGTCCCTACGCAGACTGATCCAAGTGGTCACCCACCCACGCGCTTACCTCAGCCAGTGATGCTTGACTTCGATGATCTGCTGGGAACCGTGTCTTAACGATCAATCCACTGCGGGACGCTTCATTTTGCAATTAAATGCTGTGAAAGCCGAATGTCTTTCCGGAGGCGAATAAGCATATCATACCGCGGATTGGAAACAGTTGGCGAAATTTTCTATTGGCGTTAAAGGAGCGTTCTCGACAATCGCCAAACAGCTGTGCGCTTATGTTTCTGTTTTGTTTCCGGTATCACGTATCTATCATTCACCAAGTTAGATATGGGGGCGACATTTCCTAGTTTCAATTAAGCGGATCTTCATTAAATTCTTCTGCATTAAATGAAATATAAAGCGTATTTTTTGTTATAGCGCCTACATAATCGTTTGTATCTGTTAACTAAATTGTGTTTATAAGGTCGTAATAAAACTAAGATAAAATAAAATAAATATTATTACCTCCATGACCACTTCTATATAACTTTATGTATTTCTAGTAGTGAACTTACTAAATGTATTTCTAACTAAATGTATTTCTAGTAGTGAACTTCTTTTCCTACTCACTCACTAATTAAAATTAATAATTTCACAATAACTTTTAGCTTAAAGAATCGATTTAAGAAAGTCTCTCGCAAGAGTAGATAGAATATCGAAACAGCGAAATAAAATATTTTTTTCGAATAACTTCACTTTTTATTGACTGAAAAACAGGGATTTTTTTTATTTAAACTAAAATACATTAAATGATGAAATTTTTTCAGTTATTCTCAGCGAAAATATGTTTATAGCTTTTTTATTAAATTAAATGCGTTTTCTTATTAAATTAAATATGATTTTTTTTATAAAATTAAGAGTTGCATTTCATTTTTGAATGAAAACAAAGTTACTAAAAGGTATAAAGAATTCGAAGTTTAGGTATAAAGAATTCCAATAGAAGAAAGGTATAAAGAATTCCAATTTTAAAAATTTAATGGTCAATTTAAAAAATATAAAATAAGAACAAAATCTACGCACACAATAAATAGTAAAATCATGAACTAAAGTGCTATATAAATGAAATTTGATATACGAATATAAAAAAAGCAATTTTAACAGTACATAAATACACAGTTTTAAATGTATTAAATGAGTTCATGCAAACTTTAAACTTACCTCTTTAGAAATAAATTTATTTCTTTTTCTTTTCTTGTTTTTGTCCCAAAGAAACATTTTATTAAGAATGGGAATATCACGATTTATGTTTAAAAAAAGACTGTTGCAAATAATTTTAATTAGTCTTGTGGNTCGCAGTGGTGGTTACGCCACAGTCTCAATTAAAGTTAAATTTTAATTTCAAAACGTGAACAAAATAAAAGTTAACAAAAAATTTATATCTGAATAAAAAATAGTTAATTTAAATGAGCTAAAAACAGGAATTTGACAGAGAGTATTAGAACACATTTGTCTCTTGATAGAACGACCAAAGTAAATGTCAACAGGAGTCCTCCTTTTGGATCCCTTAAACCCATGAATCTGTTTTCCTAGAACAACTAGATCAGGGGGGAGCAACCTTTTTTATCAACGGGCCAATTAAAATTTTAAAATTTTTTGGCGGGCTGCACATAAAGTAACACTTATTAATAATTTACAAAACTTCATTTATAATAAACATTAGAATTAAAAAATATAAAAAAAAGTAAAGATTTCACATACAAATTTTAATGCAGGATAAAAACAAACAAGAAAAGAACAATAAAACTAATTTACTTGAAATTTTTAATGAGAAATTTGGCACTGTTTTTACGATACAAGCTGATCATTATCAGCCGGAATTGATGAGGTACGCTACTTACTAACACGTACGCTACTTTCTAATCGTGCACCACTCAGTCTTGATTGGTGGTCTTTTATTAATAATTTCATGATTGAAAATAATTGTTCGCAAACATACGTACTTCCGAACAGAGACATCATTTGCTTTGCATTTTTCGTCAAAAGCGGAAATTTCTCAGGACTCACACACGATTTATAAAAATTTTCGATTTTTACTGAGAAAAATACATTTTTTAAATCGGTATTATTCTGCATGTCAATCACTTCCATTTGAAAGTCTTCGGGAACTGTATCCACATCGATATTAAATGGCGAGGAAAACATTTTCATGGAAACCGCTGTATTCTCAGCTTTGAACATTTGGAATCGTAATTGAAATTCTTTGATTAAAATGCCTATATATTGTACGTATTTTTGAGAAGTAGTAACGTTTTCTTTTTCTAAATGTGGAAAGTGAGACACATTATTTTGCAAAAGATGTTGTTTCCACAATTTTAATTTGCGCTCAAAGCCCTGAATTTTATCAT